TGCTCTCCATATTCTTGAAGGAATCTTTCCTTCCTATGCACTTTTCCTGTGCTCATCACCGTCCTGACCAAGCTATCAGGGTACCAAAAGCCTTCTAGACTCCCAATGCCCCCCCCGACTAAAGTCATACTCTTCACAGGGTAATGTACTGTAGTTCATCTGTTTGTGTGGTCTGCCCAGCCATGGGGACAGCCTGGTGTATGTTGCACAGGTGCTGGTGATTGCTATGCTCAGCCACTTCATTTACAGTCTCAGGAATGCGAGAAGCCCTCAGAAAAATGCCTGAAACGAGCCAGTGTTTGAAAATGCCTGAAGGCAATGAGCCATCACAGTGAAAGTATCCACTGCTGCCCAGTGGAAGCAGCAGGGAACAAAAATCTCACCGCAGTTATGCTGAACTTCAAGAAGGAGAACCACATAAAAAATGAGAGCACTTGTTAAAGATAAGCTAGAAGTTGTAACTGATGGAATTAAATCCTTTTGTGCTCCCGGCACAGAGGCTTCAGCCATCTCACTCCTTACAGGTGGATTACAGTTGGTGTGAGGAAGCCTGGGAGCCATAAGCACTCCCTGCCTTGGGCCGTCAGGACAACATCTGGACGTGCAGGTGCTCAGCATCACAGTACTGAGCTGAGGCCAGCTTTAACAACCCTGGCAGCCCTATGGGGACCGGGAGCAAGATTTCAAAGCTAAGCAGTCCAGTATGAGGAAATTCCAGAGTTGAGCACATTCAGAAGCATGTGATACTATCTTTAATTCTAATTGTATGATCTTCTGTTATTTTTTTTTCAAATCTGTCTGGATTTGCATCACAGTGGTGTGGTGATGCTGAAACAGCCTGTTGACTGGAATAACCTGCCCACCCTGAGCAAAGCTCAACAAGTCATTCCTATGAGGAATTACATAAATGCTTTCAAAATACATACTCATTATTCCTCAAATCTCTAAGCTGAGGCCCTGGATCTTACTGTCTGAGTGAGATCAGACTCAGAGAGAGTGAGACTCACTTAATGAGTACTCATAGCTGCAATCACAAGCAATGACAGCTGTATTTTAAACACCGAGACATAGGGTTAAGTACTCTGAAAAATCAGGTACTGGAGACCTAAAGGTGACAGATACTCTTGGCATTAATTTTTCTAACTTTCAAGATCCAATATATAAAATAGAAAAATGCCTTCACAGATTATACATGTTGTCAGAGTACATTTTTAGTCCATGACAAATTGATAAATACCATAGGAGAATGTGATAGTGGCTTGACACTGAGTAAGGTGGAGATCTCCAAACTCTTGGAGGATGGAAATCTTGCACTGAGCATCTCCTGAAGAAACCAACTTACACTGAAGATATTTTTTTTTAAATTGGAATACCCGAGGATATTTAGATATTCTGGAGAAGGAAAAGCAAGACACATGCTTCTTACTTAGCCCAAGGTTCATGTTTCTTTACCTGCAGAGATTTAGATTTATTTAACTGTCTCAGTAAATCTAGAAACTGAGGTCAGTGAGGACGAGACTCATCTTTGAAGGCACTTCTAGTGTGCTATAGAATTTTCTAGGCATCAGCTAAACCCAGCTTTAAAGTTGGTACTATTAAATAGTGGTAACCATGTGAAAGGATCTTTCTCTGGCTTTTAAAGTGCTGGAGAAGACTTATAAAAAGCCCTCCAATATGACTCCTGGCTAACTCATAATATGTCTCATGGGATAGACAGCATTCAAAGCCAGAGGCTTTCAATTAGACACTCAGTGATGAGATGCAAGAAAAAAGCTCCAAAGATTGCACAAAATAGAACACTTTCTAAGGCTGAGACCTGGCAGCATACACCAGGAGGCAATTAAACCTGACCAACTTGAAACCCCTATGAATGTCAAGAAAGTTCAGCAACATCAAGAAGCATAAGGAGATGGGTGTTTGCAGCTCTATCTTGCAGTCATAGTAATAAGAAGGAGCTAAGTGGCATTCACATCTCAGTCATTTATTGCTATAGGGTAGAAACATGCTGACACTCAAGTTGCATAAAAAGTCCCAAAAGACATAACTGGTCAAAAGATTTCAGCCCTAAGGAAATCATGTGCACCACGTCTGGGAGAATACACTAGTCATCACTCAGGGAAAAATTGCTTCTCAGATGATGTTGCAGTTAGTCTTTATTGCCTATTGTTTGGAGAAAAATAGCTGGTTTTCTCTCACAAGGAGTCATGAGTTGCTTTCAGAGCTTTCCTAAGGATAGGATTTTGGAATGAAAAGCTAAGTCATCTGTCTTTCTCTGGGTATTATTTTGTAAGCAAGTCAGACTACATTCTTAGAATTTTTCAAACATTTTTTATTCATTTTTATTGCTTTTGACTTGTTTTTATAGTAAAAGAACAAAGAATAACATATTAGAATGTATATAGACTGAAGTCCTTCAACAAGCTACTTTAACATATTTGCTTTCTTGCACCACAGCCATCTCTCACTGTTTGAAAACTGGAAATTTCAGGGGTTATAGCTCATTAGAAAAAACCTCAGAACCTCAGACAAAACAACTGTGAGGATGTTTTAAGTCTCCTCTGTTAAGTCTCAAAATTCCTTACAAGTAAAGGAACGAATGTAATCCCTATTAATGAATAGAAATTATTTCAAAAATAACTAACAAACTGTGTTGACTCACAACATCTCCTGACACAGCTCATTAGCCAGGCATGACATCTGGGATATGTGTGCATTCCCATTGGACTCCCCTAGGAAGGAGAATGGAGTAGTTCTCTGATGGGAGCTAGGGTTGTGGCAATCTGATGTGGAACCAGGACCCTCTGCTGAAATGTTTCAGTCCCTGGACTAAGGAGAACTTTGCTTTTACCCCAGTATTTTCTGACAGAGGATCTCACTATCTTTAGACTGCTTTCCCAAGGCCTGGGACAAAAAGGGAGGAAAAGGACTAATTCAAAGGGTCTCCTCTTGTTGTTCTCCTACTTAAAAAAGGGAAAAACTCAATGATCATAGAGGCAGCCAGCTTGCAGGGTCCAAAACTGGATCCAATGGGTCTTCTTGCAGATAGAACAGGACAAACTGAGAGGCTGGAATAAGGATCACATGCTACAGGATGGTATTACAGGAGGGAAAGCACAAGAGCACTGACACAGGAATGTTTACATTTAACTGCAGAAGGAGAGGGCTAGCACGTGAGCTTGAAAAAAAATAAATTAGTCCCCTACAGCGAAAGCTAAATAAAATGTCATTTACATAAAGAACACTTAGGGAAAGAAGAAAAGCCTTAAAAGGTGAGAAATGTGGGAGGAATTGGGGTAAAGTGGAAAGGACAGACTGCCTCTGCCCAAGGAAATAGCTGTGTGCTGCAATTAGCTAAATGGTACATGACTCCTGTGTGTGATTTTGTTGCGGTTCTGAACCGCTCATTAGTTTACTGCTGTTTCTAATGGCAGGAGTGCTGAATAATAACAGCTGTACTCTGGACTGCCAACAGGAATTTCCTCTAGGTTTTGGTGCTGAAGCTGTATTTTAAATGAAAACTGCTAGCTTTTATTTCTGGAATAACAGTAACAGATAACTATAGCACAGCCACGGATTTATAGCAATGCTTTATGCGTGGGGATCGATCTTTTAGGCAGGATTTGCTCTCCTCTCCACAGCCACTCCTTGCTCACGTGAACATGTTCAGCATGAGAAAGAGAAGCTGGGGGCAGGCAGTTCTTATGCTATGAGGCTTGTCAAGCTGAAGGTAATGATTAAGAATGCCATCTCCTCTTATGAATATTATGTAGAAACAACAAATCTTGCCTCCAAACAAAACAAAAGCTCTTCCTTAATGGCAGGGCAGCAGGGAATCTCAGTGCCTTCCCCGAGCATTTAAGTGGCTACGAGTGCCTCCCCACTCACCAGCACTCAGGCTGCCAGAGACCAGGAGACACAAATCGATAGGGTGAGGTGGATTCGCTCTGTGCTTGCCTGCATATACACATCCTAACCTCCCCCTGCCTCCCCTCCTGCCCTGTTGTTACCTCTCTCTCCGGAACCACCATTTGCCTGCTTCTCCAGACAAGCTCCAGAGCTTGAAGTTGCAAGGGGGTGAAGAGAAAAGCCTTCCTGATGGTGGTGGGGGGTGTGGAGGGAGACTTGCCCCACGCTACATACAGGGGAGAGGGAGCAACTAATGCAATACCATCTTCTGCTAGATGAGGTGGGACTACTGGCACTGTCTGGTGACAGATCGTAATGATTCTCCGTCTTCTTAACCTGCAGCAAACATGTCCTGGGAGTGAATGCCTCATGTAAGTATGTGTGGGCCTGGGGACAGTGCAAGTGTCACACAAGGGCCTCCCATAGAAGGAGAGGAAACACAGTGTCACTTGGAGTGCTGCTGCTTTGGAATTGCAGCCACTCAGGAGCACAAAAGGAATGAATAGTAGGATTAATTCATTTATCTATTGATCTCAGACACACACATTTTCATTTAACATTATTAGAGCAGCCAGAGTCTCATGGCTCATAGCTGGTGGGCAGTACAGCAGAGACTACATTTGCAAGCCTTTTTCCCCTCTTGCTGATGAGGTAAATCTCAGCAGAAGATTCCTTATGGCAAATCCCTGGGGAGAGGCCTCCTACATAAAAATAGCCCGGTGTCTGGACTGGTGACTCTGAACCTGTTCTCTATAGATAAACTCTCAGCAACTAACTGGTGGCCCAGATAACATGGGGATCTACCCTCGGAAATCCTATATAGAAAGCTGTCAGGGAGGGAAGGAAGAAAAAAATGGGGTAGATATAATTAGGTCTGGATGTACATGCACACCCATACACACAGTATCTCAGCTAACCAGGTGAAAAGTTAACCAGGGGAAAAGTTCAAATACAGCCTCCCTGTATCTCCATAAACATGGAGATCTATGACAGTGGGGGAAGATGGAATATGGTGCAGGGAGGCATTAAGACTTTTTTCAGTAGTTTCAGCACATGGAACATGAGGTCTATTCGGGGTCCTGAATAACTTCTTTGCCAAATTAATCTGCAAAGGACTTTCTCATAACTGGCTCTTACAAAACCACCCTGCAGGTGGATGCAAGGGCCAAAAATAAGTGTCAAAGGTGATGAAGATCATGCTGGGATCTGTGGAGTCACCAGCTGACACCAGTAGAGATGCTGGAACCTTAGATGATCCCAAACTGGGCCAGCTCGTGCAGTTCCAGATGGCTGAAAGCTTCCCATGGGCAAATCACTGTGATATCTGCAAAAGAGAGAGAATGAGAAATGGTTTCTCGTCACTTCAGTTCTTGGGTTTCTTTGGTATTAATAGAAAGGCTGATTTATTCAGGAAACATTAAGAGATGGGAAGAGCAAGAAGAATGAGACTCCACTTGAAGACTAAATGAGCAGATGAGCTCTTCAAATCTGGTACTACCTACCAGACTGAACCAGATCACTGTATTTTCTCCTGTGCCATCTTTCTCTGTGAGCAAGAGCAAACCAGAGTTTCCTGTAGTCTCTTCAGTGACTATGCAGACTGGTGTAAAAATTAATTCTCGTTACATGGTTTCTCCTGTTCTTAGAAACTGCCTGTAGCCAAACTGTGATCTCCTTGAAGACATGTTCAGTCTTAAAGCAGGTGCTGAATAATTTGGTCTTCAACATTCAGGATCTGTAACTCTGATATGTGCAGTTGTTATTGATACCTAAGAAGTTCGGACTGGTTACAGCTCCTCCAGTGCGTGTTTCTCAATCCCAGATGGGTACATAATATTCTTAAAATTAGGATTCTGGTGACACACAAATACTTAACCAGCTGGGATTTAGTTCCTGTGATTTTTGTTATTAATAGCTTAACATTTGGCATTTCTATGAGAACCTCATTCTACTGAAATTCTTGCCAAAGTTTTAGCTGAAAACAAAGACAAACAAGCCTATTTGCAGCCAAATGAAAGTATTCAGAAGTTGAAGCATGCCTAAATAGCCTTTCAATGTTATGGTGTATGTAAGCGTAAGCATGACTGTGGCAGCTTGCGGAGAGAGTATTAGCCTTCTCTGGTGACCCTGAGAGCTGCAGAGAGGCCCAAGAGACAAGGAACTGACTCCAGACAGTCCTCTCCTGTGCTGAAGCATGACTGCGCTTGTGTTAAAGCAGGGCATAACAATGTCATACTGCAGCGCTTACCTGTGCCCAGTCCCTCCATGCCTGGGATGTCATCTCCAAACCTAGGGGAAGAAAGAACAGGTGAGGGGTGAGTTGGGCCAGCAGCACCCAGGAAAGTGGAGCTGGTGGGACGGTACCACAGGAGCCCAGTTTAGCAGTGGGGAGCCACTCGACTAGCATGGCTAGTCTTTTTTTTCCAAAATGCCCTTACCCTTTTACTCCTTTTTTAGGAGGCTTGCTCTTAAACTGCCTTGTCTGTCTCTGCTTGAACTTGGGAGGCCCCTTGCGTGGTGTAGTGGGACCAGTTGGAGCATCTGTAGTGTTGAGGTTGGTGCCTGGGTTCTCACTCATGGCTGGGCTGCTGTGTGTGGCTGGCGCACGCTGCTCTCAGCTTCCTCAGTCTGCAAGATAACGGCAAGGACTGACGCAACACTCTGCTTATCATTTCCAGGTATCAGTGGTCAGGCGACAGAATTATGGCAAGTATTATTGTGACAGGATTAAAGATAAAGATTTAAACATAAAAAAAAGATTGTAATGCATCCAAACTAAGCAGGGTAGCACTGTCTTCCATCCAGCATGGTTGAATTAAGATGCCAAACAAAGGACACTCGAGCTAAGGACTGGTTCAGGATATGACTATGAGGAGCACAAAGTCACACTGTCTTAGGGCTTAGAGAAATACCCTGTTCTTGGGAACCATCTTCCTATACTTCACCTGTTCTTATGCCTAAGCAGTACCATTTGGACACTGGTGGATATGGGATGCTGAGCTAGATGGGCCCTTAGTCTAGGTGCAGCTGCAACCAGGACTTCATGTTTGTCAATACCAACCTTAAGGGAAATAGCACAGTTGCTTTAAAAGATTGTAAAGAAGGCTAAGGAAAAGCATGGGAGACTGTCTTTTAGACAGAAGTTGATTTCTCAGGATTTAGGAGAGCAAGGTCTGTAAATTTTCCCGGGATATGTCCATTCTGGTATTTTTGAGCATTGTATTACAGGCATATATTACCTCCTCTGCACCACACTGCACGTGAACCAAGCTTTACTTCCCAGGGGCTAAATAGTTATCAGGGAGCAATTCTTGTGTGGGAGACATCTGCCTTAGACAGTAGAAGTGCTGCATTCAGAGCCTTTTGCTTCCTTCCAGAGAGGACAGCAATAGCTCTCACCAGTGCCCAAGGGGGAGCTTCCAGCCTTTCATCAAATTTTGTGCTAATTAGCATGCTAGAATGATTTGACCAAGTGCATTTATGGAACATAAATAATTTCCAACTTTTCCTCCCCTCCTTGAAGTCACATTTTTCCCCATGACCATTACATAACTCATAACTCTCCTCTCCAGGTGTTCATCCCTGTGCAGCCAGCTGATGGAATCGCTGATGGAATTATCTTCAGGATTTTGTACTAAAGGCTAATCCCATTATGTCACCATAGTGCTCTGGCCTAATCCCTAACATGACCTGCAGTGACACTTTGGACTTTTAATCTCAGAACTATAAATGCTATCAAAGATGGGTAATTTTTTTTTCCTTAGTCTAAAGACAGTTCCTGTCTTTGACAGTCCTGAAATAGCCAGAGTGCCGGAAAACAAAGCCTGAGACGCAAGGAGAAAAACCATCCAAGCAATCCTCCTCTGTCACTTCCACATCAGTGCAAGGAGAAGACCTGTGTTTCTGTATCTGTGGCAGCCTGGGAATACTTCACCCCTGACTTCTTTCCATCTGCGCTGGCAGTAGGATGTATCCTAATGATAGCACCTAGAGGCATGCTAGTTCTTCTGTCGCTTGCGGTCGGGCTCCTGTCTCAGCTGTAATATCCCCAGCAGGAGACTGGACGGGTTCCAGCAGCCCCAAATGGAGCAGCAGATGGTTGTGTCTGCAGCTGAAGTAGGCACAGATGCTATTCCCCCGCCTGTAACACAACGCTTCCTAAGCACACACTGTGCCCACAAACACAGGGACCAGCTGAAATGGTACAAGTTACTTATTTGGCTGCCATCTCTGAAGCACCTGGACAATCACACAGTATTTACAGCTTTATCCCCGCAGCACAGTGGCAACACAGGCAACCACTATCACTTTCATCTGTTACAGAATGGGAACGGAAGTGCGGTGATCGCTATGACCTGGGCTGCACAGCTGGAAGGAATGACAAATTCTTTTGACTCACAGATTTTTGGGGCCAATCTGAGAGGTGAATGCAGTTTGGCTCCAAAGAAAAGACAGAATTTGGTGCCTCACTTATTCAGTGAGGAATTCAGATGGTACTGCCCTACAGCAAAATGCTTTGCACTGGAAAACTGCTCCATGGCATGTCTGCTATGCCCCAAAGCACAGCATTATGCCTCCACCTCAGGAGCAGTTCTCATCAGGAGTGTCTGTCTCAGTGCTGGGTAGCCCTCCTGAACTACGAGAGACACACATCCACTTCTAAGCGCCGTCAGTTCATCTGACATACAGAGATAGTTGGCACCACTCTCAAAGGCTGCTCCTGAAAGTATGACAGAAGAAACACACTGGCTAACAGACTTCCAACCCTTTGGCATGACACCCAAAATTTGTAAGAAGCAGCTGAGCTCAGTCTCCGAGTGAGTTCCCAGCACGGTGCCTTAACCACAAAAAAAGTCTTTGAAGGTCAACTCCTCTTAGTTCCTTGAGTCTATGCCTTGTCCCTGGCATTCACTCAGTAGAGAAATAGCTAATGGGAAGACTCAGTCCTTGGAGTTTCCCTTTCCCCGAGTCTGAAGTAGTCATATCCACCTGCCAGCTACTTGATACCTGAAATTTGGTAGGAAAAAAGAACCTGCCCAAATCACACTTCATCCTCTCTCTCAGCTGCATGAATTCGAGAATTCAGTGAAACTAAAAGGAACAATTCTAACCTCTTCCTTCCCAATCTCCCTTTGCATATTCTCCCACACTTCACCAAAATAAAGGTCAGAGAAAGGTCAGAAAGCAGTCTTAACGCCACACAACACCTCCATCTCGCAGCAGAAATCAAGCTGTTCTCCCACCAGTGAGTTGGTGGGACTCACCTGCCATCACACACAGGTCTCCATTCATGCTGGAGAGGGCCCTGCCCCACAGCAGGAGCGCTGCCCCAGTTCCCACACCTCAGGAACCAGCTGGCCCTGCACACAGCCAGACATTGGTGTGTGGCAGCCCCAGGATCACAGTTGCCAAAGAAACACTGACAGCAACTTCCCAGGGGAATTTCCCAGCCTTTCGCCTTGCCGTACCTGGGTACTTGGGTAGTCCTTGGTACCACACCAAACAGATGGCTTGACAAATGCTCAACGAGACCGGGTCTCCTTCTCTCACTCTCTGCAAGTGCTATGCTGCCTCCCCCCAGTGCTTCCCGGGCTGCCAGAGCTCTTCTGCTACCGTCGTCACTGGGATGCAGTTCCGGGGGGAGAGCTGATGGCTGTGGATGCAAAGGCTCTTGAGGAATAAGATGTTCTTCCGTGCACTTCCTCTGCCCCCTTCTCTGACAAGGTGTTACCTAATCGTCCCTGACAGCATTTCTCCTCAGTCCAGGGTTTAATCCTCTGAGCAAGAGCTTTGCTTGCATCCGAATGCTAATTATACCTAATACACGGTAATGGACTTATCTCAGTTGCGTCAGATATCCCACCTCTGGGTTGCTGGCCAGGTTAATCATCCTTCTTTTAGTTTTCTTTGAACTTAAAGAGGCTTGAATAGTACTGACAAATGCTGACTCTTTAATCTGCCCTCTCTTTAATCTCTGATTCTCTATGGAAAATTTCCCTGACAGATAATGCAGGTGCCTCACTTGACCTTCTTCAGACAGATTCAGCATAGGCTCTCCTCTTCCCTGTCTGAAACCTTCAAAAATACAGACTTCTCCGTGTCCACTTCTCTTCATGGTGCCTCAGGGATGTCAAACAAAGAACCCCCATGGGCCATGGCCCTCCATGCAGCAATATACTGGGAGAAGATGGCATCTGGGAGGAAATAGCCTCATTTTTACATTCCTTTTTGTGGGATTCTTGTATGCTCAGCTCTTGACCTCAAGAGAGCGACTAGCATCATCCTTGCGGCCAGGCACTCATCAGGGAATATTGTATCCAGTGTAAGATGCCTGTGAGGAGTCTCACAGCTCCAGGCTCAGTTGCTTGAGCTGACTAATCATAATGATGGAAAAAGTCCACGCAGGTTCAGCCCTTTCTGATCCTGTGTTTTTAGACAGGATCTCAGACCCTTCGTTCTAGCAGCAGTTTTAAGACCAAGAACAAATGAAAAGAGGATGCACTCTAAAAGACAGAAACTCGTTTCAATTAGAACTATATTCCCACAACTGCTTCCCTGACGGGGATCATTGGAAAGACTATCCCAGCTGAAAGAAGGGATTCAGTAACACCGGAGGTACAGCATCACACGGTATAAACTCCCCACGGATGTGCCCTGTACCGGGGCAGGGAACACCAGCCGCCTGTCCCGACCGCTCCTCAGGATCCCCCTGGTGCTGATCACATGCAGGCTTGGCCCGTTGAGGACACAAGCCAAAGGGGTGCCAGGGAGCCCTGAGGGGTGCCTGGCATGAGAAGAAACTGAGCAGCCCCACGGTGGGCAGAGCTGCTCGCACAGCTTCATTACAAACCACTGTTGCAGCACCTGTCCTGATGTTAGAGGAAACAGAAAACAACCACCCAAGAACCACAACTCCCTCTCCTAGCTGCTGGGTCTGTTCACACTCCGCAAGCACAAACATCCAGATTTTTCTCCCATGGGGTTTTATCAGGACTTTTCTCCCCTCTGGGTTTTGCAGCCACTACCTCTTTCACCCCCCCTGCCACCCTCATTATTGTTTTGAGCTCCTGGGAAATACTTACAGCGCCAAGGGCTCCTCTTGCAAATCATTCAAATCCCGTCCTCCAGCCTGCGTTGAAAGGGTCTCGAGGTGTCCTTTCTCCTCCAGATATACCCTGCCACCAGGTGACATCAGGCTGCCAATCGTGGGCGGGCCCCCACGTGGTGTGGGGGGGACGTGTGGGCAGTGCTGTGACCCCGGTGCTCTGAAGGCACAGCGTCAGCCAGGCCTTGGGGAGCAACAGAGCCTCAATACTTTCCTAAGGGGTGACGTGCCCCTTTCTGCAAGAAGAGGTCATGGCTTCCCTGGAGCTCCTGGGGGGTAGATCTCCAGAGAAGCAAAGAGAAATAAGGAAATTATCTGCCCTTTGAGCAATGCTGCTGCTCAGGAACACACACACACACACATGCCTGCACATGCAGGGAAGGGAGGAGTTGGTCCAAATCATCCCAGAACCCTCCCCTGTGCTGGTGAGCTCGTGGAGGGGCTTCCAGCAAACCTCTCAGCAGTGCCTCAGGGGTCAAGGTGTACCTGGCAGATCACTGCACTTGGTCACCCTGGTGCCGAGAGGGCTGGGTCTGCTCAATGGAGTGACAGAGAATGCTGCTGAGATACTGTGCACAGCCATGGTGGATATTTAGCTGCATCCAGTCGATGAGATGGCAGGGGAAGTAGGGTGAACCTTTGTGTTGCATGCTGGTGGCCAGCCAGTGGGTGGCCTGTCACCTCTGAGACCCGAGGCACTGGCTGAGGGTAACAGCTAGACCACATCTGGGTACTGATAGCAGTGCTACTGTGAGGAGCTGGCTGAGAAAGGGAAGAGCTGGTGTCTCGGCCCAAACTCCAACCCAACAAAACTCCATGGATGGTAATGCACACTGTTTTATCAGCTGCTTTGTATCTCCTATGCCTTTTGATAGCCTATTGTGACTGTCTGGGAGATCAGCGTCAGACATGTGGAAAAAGTGGGTGGAGTCTCAGGATGAAAAGAGAAGGTCCAGGGCCCTACTAGAAGGTGCTGGAAGATCATCCTCAGCTGTAGCGGCACTTCAGTCATGGACTGTAGCTGGCTAGCTTGAGGAACAACCACAGGGTTAACAATCCTCTGGGGTCCGTTGGTTCTGGTGAAGCATCACTCATTTACCTTTGCTGAGCATCCAGCTCACATGAGATCAGGGCTGGCAGGGCTGAAAATGGTCCCAGAGAAAGGAGCTACACTAGGAACATCAGAACAGCACAGGAGCAGAAGGAAACTGAGGTGTGGGTTTGTGTAGGGATGGATGGGCTTCATCTTTGGGTGAGGCTGGAGGAGGGGGTTTTGGAGCAACCATGCCAGCCAGGGGTGCGATGGAGAAAGGACAAGCTCCCTCTGACATGACAGACCCTGGCAGTGGGGACCAGTCTGGTGTTGAGCGAGAGCCCCACAGCTGGCCTTTCAGATGGCTGAAGTTAGATGAGATAAATCCCTCAGCAAGACTCTTGGATTACATTTAAAAATCGATAGGGTCCTAGCCCTTGAGTGAGTACAGAGGAACTGGGAAATAAATCCTAGATGCAGCCAAGGGGCTTTCAATCTAGCAGAGAATCAGCAAACACACTTAGCATTTCCACGTGCTTGAGGACGATCACACAGCTTTCAGAGGCTTGTGTGATAATTTCTGGGCACAGGCAAGAGGATGGGGGCAGGATGGTGTTGGCATCCTCTCTTCCCTGTGACGACTAGAGCTTGTACACAAATGCGCGGAGATTGATTGCACTCAGCAGCTCCTGACAGCAGAAGTGATTATTGTGGGCAGGGACCTGCTTGTGTGGATATAAAGAGGTGCAGCCTGCTGGCAGCAGGATCCGCTCCCATCCCCGCTGCTCATTCCCATGCCTCCATCTGCTGCAGACAGGTTTCCGGGGGCTCCCCCTCCCCTTCTGCCTTCTTCTATGTAGGTAGAGTTGCTGGGGAAATCAGCTCTACAGCTCCCTACTCCTCTTCTCTGAACCTTAAAAATTTACATTTTTTCAGGCTGTTTGTTTTCAAAACATCCCCTTTGTTTTCCTGTTTACCCAATGAAATCTGCCTCATTTCTCTTTAACGAAAGTGGACATGTGGGAAAAAGATTTCCATGGTGTCACATGAAGCTATTTTTTGGCCACTGAGAAAACGTGGCAGAAACTCCCTAAATGGCCCCACTTATCATGTTCTTTCTTCTCTCCCATTATTATCAGGCCATTTCTCCTCCCCTCCTCTCTCTCCATCCATCTCCCTCACAAAACGGGTGGCATTTGCTACGTGGGGATGGGGGTGCACAGCTCTGCAAGCAACACGCACCAGCTTTGTGTCCGTGCCTGGCTGCCACCCTCAATGGATGATGAGTTCTTCCCAGGGACCAAATGGGACGGCCCCAGGAAAGCCTTTTGGGCCACATCAGTTGCCACCGATCCAGACCAGAGCAGCACCAGAAGCCACAGTGGCCAAACAATAGCAGGACTGCCGTCCCTGTGGCCCCAAAGGAAAACCCATGAGCTTTGTTACCTCTGGCCAGATTATTCCCTATTCCAGGGAATCACATAAAAAACATCTCCAAGGTTTCTGACCCTATTTATGAGCGAGTGTAGCCATGGTAACTGTAGTTATACCAGAAATAGCAGCTCACTTGAATGACAAAGAAAACACAAGTTTACAAGACGCTGACTTTTCCAGGGGCTGACTGAGCTCATGGGACTGTGGGAGGAAATCCCAGCCAAGGCACAGACTCGGGAATCCAGCGGATGAAGGCTGTGCCTGGCATGGGCCACAATAGCTCTTTTGAACCATATCTTTACAAGCTTGTGCCAGGTGCTTTGGAGACTTTGCGCCTTATTGATAGAGTTTTATCACCTGTCACATAGACATAATTGGCTAGAAATGAGAAGGGAATTTTCCAGGCATCTGCGGTTAAACCTTGGTTTCCCTCCTGCAGGCAGCCTACCAAGTGCTTCAGATTCCCCGGCGAGAGAAGGACAGTGGTAGGACCTGGATTTGGAATGAGATTGTCTATTGGTCTTGTAGAAGGTCAATGGGGTTGTCATGTCAACAGCATTTTGGTGAGAAACTCAGTGTACCAAGGTGCCTGCAAAAGAAGATTCACATGCTCTAGCCCTCCTTCTCCAATGCCCATCATGTTCCTAAGCTGTCAGTTGTTTGTGCTAGTGAAACAGGAGAAACAGATACAAAGGACTGGGCTTTGCCTGGAGCAGATATTTAGCTGATTGAATTAATGCAAGTCAGTCCATCAAAGATGCAGAGAAGAAGGCATCCTCATGGAGTTTTATCGCTCTTCCTTCAGGAGATCATGCATCACTACTCTGGTGTTAGGATTAAGCATCTGTAACAGCTTGCAATAAACTGGACTTTGGGAATCTGTGCCTGCTGCTGGATACAACAGTTATGCTGAGTGTCTCTGAGCTGAACTTGCAAAAGAGCCTGGTCTGGATTCTCATTTCCACTCCTGCCCTGAGGGCTGCTTGGGCAATGGGGCAGAGATTGAAGAGGCTGAGGTCTGTCAGGACTTTAGAGAGAGATTTCCATGGTCAGTCTGGAGAAAAGGATCCTTTGAGGAAACAAATCAAACAGTAGGACAGCAGTGGCCCTGACTGTGTTAGAAACTAGATGGCACTGGGGACATGCCTAAGTCTGCAAGCCAAATGGCCATTTCCAAGGCTTCTTCAGGAAAAATGAAGCCCCTGCTTTTCTCATTTAGTTGAGGGTGCTCGTTTTGTGCATGTCAGAACATCATTAGAGGCCCCAGGCTTTCGGGCACCAATGCTTTAGGACATGCTGGGGCTTTTTATAGCAGATGATATAAACCCCATGTAGCCTGTCATACACTTCATTAGTTACCAGAGAGTTACATTTAATTCCGAGTAGTGAGTCTGGCCTTTCTTGGAAGAAATAACCAAATCTTCCCATCTAATACCACAAGACTGCTACATTAATATGATTTTATTAACTTACATGAACTTTTCCCTGGTTGGCATAAATAAAAGGAAAAAGGGAATGTATCCATTCTTTTTTAGATAGCATTTTTCACCCACAGAGCTAAATTTTCATTATCCCTATTTGCAAATATGGAAACTGATGTACAGAAAGTTCACAGACCTGCAGATGAGACCCAGTTGTCCAGATATGGGCTGTGGGGACTGATGTGCTTGGCCACGCAGCACAAAAAGCTCAGTATTTTATAATTGCTTTGTGATTAATTGATAAGAGCATCTCCCTGCTCATTGCAGAGTTGTCCCACGAGAAAGCAGTAACATTAGTGAGCATCCTTTCCCTGCACTATCTTTGCTTAATGTCTGCATCCAGGCTGTTGGGAGTGCTGCAATGGGATTGAGTTTGTTAGATCATTTTAAAAAGCTTTCTCTCTTTCCTGTTTTCATACTGCCCACAATTAAAATATCTGCTTTTTCTTTTATAAGATTATTTTTCTCCTGAATGCCATTTACAGAACATACTCAACATTAATATAGTGAACCATGATCTAACATTTTTTCCTTTTTTTGATCAGTCCCAGCTAGTTAATCTTGTTATCTATGTGACTGCCAGAAAGCAGAGTATGTGGTTGCTCTTAAAAATGTACCTGAATAACACAGTTTTCACAGTATTGTCTTAAGGGTCTTTCTTGAATTTTTCTTTTTCCATAATTGATTCTTTCTCTATGAATTACATGCCATATACCTGTGAACAATGATTAAATGATCCACTAACATTCACTAAAACGATCACACATTGAACTAAACAGAGAAGTAATACTGCCTTGTTTAAAAAGAAAAAAAAAAAAAAAAGAGACTGCAAGAGGGTGTTTTTATTTAAATGGAAATCAGATAATTCCAGAGCTTTATTTGGTTTAAAACAGTGAAGCAAGTGATTCAGTGTCACTGGGCTAAGAAGAGGAAACTGTACACAAGTCAGCTCCAGATGTCTTCTTTCCTGACAGCTTCTTTTCTCATCTGTTTTTTCTGAACGATCAATTCTTTCTCCTTGGCAACCAGCAGCCCAATAAAGAAAGGCTCTTCTGAAACATTTTGGTAAAATGTTTCTTTCTTAAGG